ACACAATGTTATTTAGTCTGTATTCAACTTGGCAAAACAAATTACAATTTAGCAAGAAATAAAGGGAGGAGGAGAAAAGACTAGTTTTGGAAAAAGATTATTTCATCTGATGCCTTGGGAATATAGTTTGCAATATATAAGGGCTAATATCCCTCTACAATAGCTGCATGTCTGTGTGTGTTTGTGAAGGAGAAAGAAGATGGGGAAGGTAGATTTCCTCTGCAGGTTGGATACATTGGTAGACTTCCAGTGCAAGGGGAGGGGGAGACTGGGAGCAAATCTAGCATTTTCAGATTTTGCTTATTAGGATTTTGCTAACGGGGAGCTTCATTGAGAATGTATTTTTCTGTTGTTATGGTTTGAATTGAAGAATTGTCCCAAGGCTTTATGTTTTCATATGCCAAGTGACGTGCTTTTTCAGTCCCTTCTAATTCCTGGAACTGATAGATGTAGAGGCAGTGCTCTAGCTGTAACAAGCTTCTTAAAGTCAGTGACAATCTCTGACAGTTTGTGTGTAATGCAAAATGAAGTTCTACATAAATAAGATGACAAGCAAACAGATAAGCAATAAACAACAGAACACAAAAATGTAAGCAAAATGTCAAGGATGCACATGTGTTGTTAACCTTTTTAAAGTATTGCTTAGGAAACAAGATGAAACTTGAACACCACATTAATGGTGTTTATCTTTGCTGTCTATTGTTGTATTCTGCTACAGAGGTGCTGCATGTGACTGGTGGTACTACATTTGTTTTTAGAAACAACACCTTGATGGCTGGTTACTGGAATGTCACCTGGAACCTCTGCCACAGAGGGTGGTCAGACCAGCCTTGGTCTTTCACCAGGAAGTTCTTGTCCTTTCCCTGCTGTATCTCCAGTTCCAGACAGCCCTGCCCTGAGGTTTAAGTTTCCTTTTCCTTGAAGAGCGCTGTTTACTTTCTAGCCCAGTTGTCTAAGGTGGCATGTACACATGCATACACGTATCTCTCTACATTTACCCCCATGCTTAACTTTTAACTCAACGAAGAATTTCAGAGAAATTTGACATCAGGGAAAAGCTCTCAGCAGTAAGCATCTCTACAGTCACTCAAGGAGGCTACAGAGATATTATCTCTTTCTCATGTGCAATGTAATAGTGAGAAGGGCTGCCGTGGCAGCTCAGCTACATAAGCTTTTAATTTACCACAAGACATTTGTATAAATTTCAGCTGTGTAATAAATAAATAGGACCTGTAGCTGGTTGAGAACTTTGTAGACGGACAGAAGGAAACAGAGTGGGAATTATTTGAACAGAGAAGATATTTGTTATGCATCATAAAGCCCTACTGCTTGAACTTTGCTGAACTGGAGTGTTTTTTGATTTGGATGTTTAGACATTGGTTAATAAGAGTGTTTAGATAAGATATCTGTGAAGTTGGACTGATTTGACACCACGGGTATTTAAAAGCTATTTTTTTTAGGTCACTGTGATGATAATGATATTGTAAATGTGGAACTACTAGGTATGGAATTGAACTGCTTTTAGTCAGTGAAATACCTTACGTATATTGTGGTGAATGTATAAAGTAGGATGTAGTTTTGATGACCTGAGTTATAAAAAGTATGTTTGAGGAATAGGTCTTCCTAAAATAATACCTTTGCTATTTGTGATTCATTTTGTCCTGCCAAACCAAAAAAAAGCTGTGACCCAGAAATGCTTAACAAAATGCTGACAAGTATTTGCTTTCAAAGGTGTTTCCTTTGAGTAGCTTCAATGGTGTAAATAGGAAATAATTTTGCCTCTTAATTTCTGCTAAAGCAAACCTTTGGCTTTTTGTAATAATTTTAATATATCTCATCAGACTTGAACCTAACAATGCTAATTGTATCTTGTGTAATATAACACAGCAGCTTGCTCTGTCATGAGAAAAATGTCAATTAGAAATCACAGTTAATCACTGGAAAACATTCTTGGGAAAATAAATCTTGTTCATTTACTGTTCACAGAACTGCATGGTTTGTAGTATGCTTAATATTCAGGAGCCTTCCTAGTCTAGGAAAATAAAAATACATACACTCTCAATATTTATGTGTTATTAAATCAGCAACAGCAGATGATGTAGTCTGAAGGGCTATACGGTATAGCTTTCATATGGAGTACCTTCAGTAATATGTGACTCAAAATGAGTATAAACAGTTTATAACATCCAATTTCTGAAATTTATTGCATCCTTGAACATTACATTGCACTTACTACAATGCAAACTATTGTAACTTGTATCACCTGCACATTGGTAATGACCGTTATCAATTAGGTGCAAGCAATTATTTCCAGCATCACTTACAAAGAGCAATATTAAATTGTCCTTTGAAAAGGTTCAGTAGAGACCAGGTTTTTTCTTCAGATAAATGCCAATTTATTTTCAGGTACAATTTGACCTATTAATAAATTTTATTTAAACTACAGCCACAAGCACTGATACAAATATCTTTTTCCATACTTATAACAAATAAAGTTTCATAAATCAAAGCTACCATGCATTTCTGATTATTCTTAAGATAAAATGTTATTCAAATATATACATTTCTTAATTTCTGCCACCCACTCTACCATACACTAAGTTTTCATCACTCTATGTAGTAAGTCCAGATGACTTCCTGGGCAAGACAACTCCCATGGGCAGGGCAAGCCTTGTGAGAAGGTAAATCTTTCCCTTCCATTAATTGACAGCTTTTATCACTAATAATGAGACTGTACACACACAAACACTGAAAAAAAAAAAAAAGCTCCTGTGCATCATAACTTCATGTGTGGCCTTGAATGCCAGAAGACTGTCTGCCCATGAGAAGGAAGAGGTGTGGGTACAGGGAGAGTTAACTCTGAAGGATGGAGCCAGCTGAAACTCTTGCAACAAACAGAAGTGTAGGAGGAGGCAGTGAGGGACCCGTAATTCAGGATAGTGTCTTATCAGGTGTGTCACTATATCCCCAGGATAGGTTTTAGTGTGGAGGGAGGTGAGATGAGAAGTCTCTTACACCTCTAAGAATTTGGGTTTTTTTGGAGGAGATAAGATGCTGACACTCTTACGATACAGGTTTCTGGTTTGTGTAAGAAGAAATGTAGCAAGGAAAATCCTCTCACAAATTGATTGAACCTTTAGCATCTGCAATGCATGTACAGTTCATGTATGATCACCTAGAAAATAATCAAAGGGAATCAAAACAAAGAACACAGATCTTGTATCTCTTTTAAGGAAATACTAGGTTTATTTCAGGGTGGCTCTCCAGATGAGGCACTAGGCATGCTGAGTGATCATTGTTAAATTCTAAGAAAAATGGGTAAACACTAAGAGAAGAAGGGAAATATGCCAGTGGGGTCTCAAAGTTCTTATCTAAATGCTTTTTTGCCTACAAGAAAATAGCTAAGGATCATTGTATTTAAAAATAACAAAAAAAAAAAAAGCCCCACAAAACAACTGACCAAACCAAAACCCAAACAGCTTAAGATCAATACTTAAGGAGTCATGCTGTCATAGTGAAGCAGGACTAAAAAAGATATCAAGAATCCATTAAGGACACATTCCTGAAAAGAGCAGGATAGCAAAATCATTTTTTCCTATAAGAATTAATGCGATGGGGGGAAATGCATATTGGGACCTAAGAACTACGAACTGTTTAAATTCACAGGGAACAGGATCACTGGCTTTTCATCAGCTGGCTTCTCAGCATGGATCCCTGTTCTGAGAGAGCATCTATGAGACTGAATGTCCTAGAAAACTTTTGCAGTGTAAGCATTCTTTATGTCTCTTTCTGGACAGTTGCATCTTCATCATCTTCCTTAGATGAATCAAGGTCAATCAAATTGATCATAGGTGAAGGACAGCAAAAATGGAGTAACGATGGTGGTTAGTGGAGCACAGTATTAAATGGTCAGCAACAGAACTTCCAAGTGGTGGATAGAGAAGTGAAGGATGGTGAGGTGCCGCCATATTCTCTTAATATCTGCTGAAACCTTTAATGCATACAGTGTGTCAAGTTTCCCCAATTTTTTCTCTCCTGCAAGCCATCCAACACCCTTTTGCTCTGCCTTCTGTGGTTGTTGATGCCTACAAGTAGTGAAATGGGTTCAGAGAGATGACCTGGTCACTCCTTATTTTGTGGACCAGCTTGCTTTCTGGAAGGATTGGCTGCCTGAACTAGTTGGAAAAAGGAAGGATTGTGGCTGCCTCATCTGATAGCAACTTAAATCACTCTGGAGTTGTAGTGTTAGTTCTCAAACACCATCCTCCAGTAACGTTAGCCTAATACAATAATAGAGTTTCTAACATTTGAGGATGAGGAAGATCCTAGCTCAAGATCATTAAGCCTGGATATGAAATTTAGTCACCTGAAACTGTTTGGGGTCCTACATAAAAGCAACTTAATTTTCCAGAGTTTTAGGCAGTCTTTTGACTCAACATAAGATAGTGATGTTTTAAGAGAGCAATTTTTATTTAAGAGACTAAACACAGGTTCAGATGTGTAAATCCAGACATGTGACTTAGAAATAAACACAAAAGTAAAACCAAACACAAACCTTTAGGAGCAGAATTATTCACATGTATGATGTGAAACCACGGGGGGGGCGGGGGTGGAAATGGTTTTTAGCAATGAAGCTAAATCTAGTGTTATCTATGTGAGATTATAGAGTCTCAAACTATGGGTTGTTTTTATTTTATTATCTCACTATTCTTAACAATTATCACAAGTTTGATTGGAGGGTGGAGGTAAACAAAAGCAAGGGAAATGACTACTCACTGTGAAGGAGAGTAAGGGGTGAAGGTTGCTGTGAGAAGAGGTTAATATGTGCCTTCTATATGCTTTTGGAATGGACTTCATATGCCTGTCACCCCTCTGGGCTAAGAGCAGTATGTTCCCATCCCTCTAGGATGGGACTTTGCTGGGGGACTGGCATAGCTTCTGTAGAAGCAGAATGAACTCTCCCTGTGGGATGGCTGTGCGTGTCAGAAACACGCAATCTCTTATCCCTCCAGAACAGGGTGATGGGGTCCCTCATACCGACTGAGCCCTGTACAGGGGGTGATAGTTTCCAGGGATAGCTCTGCCTTGCAATCCGATTGCAAAGTAGCTGGCACCTGATGACTCTTGGGGCTGCTGCCAGGGGCAGCCTGTGTCTGAGAAATCACAGCCCTCTTCTCCATAGACACCTCCTCACTGTTGTCCTCCCCCTGAAGGTTTATGGCATGGGGTATGGGCTGCACCCAGGCAGTGATGGGAGGGAGGGGTACTGATGATGAGGCAGGTCCTTCCTTCTGGTAGGTGGTGTCATGGTGATAGGAAACCAGCTCATTGCTGAAGTTGACCCTCTCCACAGTGGATCTGGGTGTGCCACAGCAGAAGCACCGGCAGCCCAGGAGGTTGCTGAAAGCCCGCCTGAAGTCTGCATTGAAAGCATAGATCACTGGATTCACTGAGGAGTTGGCCCAGCCAAACCACACAAAGATGTTGAAGGTGGTTTGGCCAACACAGGGTTGTTGTTCATCATCTCTCTCAAGCTCAGGCTGGCAGAAAGGCAGCAGACAGTTGAGCAGGAAGAAGGGCAGCCAGCAGCAAACGAAGACTCCCATTATGATAGAGAGGGTCTGCAGCACCTTGGTCTCCTTGCGCAGGGAGCTCTGCAAAGAGGAGGTAGGCTCCTTGCCATGAGCTGGCCACTGCCCCCCTGCTCGCTCGAGGGTGGAGATGCGGCGGATCTGGGCCTGGGCAATTCGGTAGATCCTGGTATAGGTGATGATCATGATCGCCACAGGGATGTAGAAGCTGATAAGGGAGGAGGTGATGGCGTAAGTGCGGTTCAGGCTGACATCACAGTGAGGTGTTCCAGGCAGCCAGGAGCCTGAATATCTCCTATCCTTGGCTTTATGCCAGTGTAGCTGCACTGGGACGAAGGAGATGAGGATGGAGAGGGCCCAGGCCATGGCTATCATGGTGCAGGCAAGGCGCTGCGTCATCCTGCGCTCATAGCGAAAGGGGCTGGCGATGGCCCAGTACCGGTCCAGGCTGATGATGCAGAGGTGGAGGATGGAGGCGGTGGAGCACATGATGTCAAAGGCCAGCCAGGTATCACAAAAGCGGCTGCCAAAGAGCCAGGAGCCTCCGGCCACCTCAGTGACTGCCTTCCAGGGCATCACCAGGAGGGCCACGCAGAGGTCCGAGACAGCCAGCGATAGCACGAACCAGTTGGTGACCTTGGCGCGCAGGTGGCGGAAGCGCAGGACGGCCAGGCACACCAGCGCGTTGCCCACCAGCGTGCTCAGCACCAGGGCGCCCAGCAGGCACCCGGTGAGGGCCCGCAGCGCCCGCGGGCCGCCCCCCGTCACCGCGGCCCCCATCAGGGGAGCTCCGGTTCCCCGGAGGAAGGGCCGGCCCCGCTCCCCCGGGCCCCCCGGCCGCTCCTGCCGGCGGGACACCCCTCGAGGGGGCGGCAGAACCCCCGGCAGCCGGCGCCGGCCGCGGCTGAGAGGGCGGCCGCCCGTCGGCGCATCCCCGCCCGCCGCCGCCTGCCTCAGTTTCCCCCGCGGCGGCGGGCGGCGGGGCGGGCTGCCCCGGGGGTACTCACCGCGCCGGCTGCTTGGGGCCGCCCGCCTTTCGCCTCGCCGCGGCGCCTTGCGAGGAAGGGGAAGGGACCGTCCCGCTGCTCCGCGAGTGGGGTGCGGGCCGGGCGGCGGCCCCGCGGCACTGGCGCCGCGTCGTGCCGGGGGGACACCCGCGGCTTTCCGCGGGGTTCAGCGGCAACTTTCCGTGGGCTTCGTGTGCCGCTCGCCGGCGGGCGGCGGCTGGCCGCTCAGCGCGGGGGGGGCCGGGGGCCGAGCCCACGCTCAGCCGGAGCTTGCTGCCGGAGGGGAGAGGCGGGGAGAGCCCCCAGGATCAAGCGACCTTCCTGACTGCACCGAGGGAGGCTTCCCCGCAGCATCGCCCGGGGAAGAGCCATTTGTCAGTCTTCAGTTTGTGCCTGCGTGAGTGCCAGCGACCGGGATCTGGCGCTTCCCAAGTATCTCCTTCTTTGGAGACCACGATCAAATTTCAGGTTTCTTAAAGAGCGGGATAGCACTTCGCGTCCATTTACATTGAGAATGTTACCAAATCTCCGTGTTGCAAGCTGTGTTTTCATCAGAACAGTATTTTGCTATTTATTTTTTGGTTTGAATTGAAATTCTGTGTAAAGAAACCAAACGCAGAGAAACCGAAGACATCTCTAGTTTGGATTTGTTGCATTTTGGCAGAAGCTTGGTCATACATTTCCTCAGACACAAGCACCTAAAACCTGCATCTTTATTTTTCAGCCAAAGGTGTTTTCTGATGTATTTCAACTGTCTTCCGTTTGCTGTTATAATAATATACATGTTGTCATAGAAATGTCTTGCATATATTTACAGCCTACTTTTAATAAAGTATCCTAATGCAAATAGGGCATAATCCTTTATTTTGGAATAATTTATACAGTAATCCTGTCACGAGAAAGAGAGATTGGGGTGTGAATAGAAAATATCAACTCATGTAATTAATTAATATGTCAAACAAGTATTTCTTTTTAGATGAGGTATTTTATATTTTCTTTTTGCCTCCTAATTAAAACTACTTCATCCACTAGTGCCAATACAAATAATTTTCAAGCCATTAAGTCATGATATTCTTGGTAATTAGAACAGAGACTGGAAATTTTTTGAACAAATTTTGAACAGCAAAGCTGGCAGCTTAGCCTGTAAAAATCAGCATATTTAAGATACACTAGCTGGATTGTACCAGTTCATAGCAGATTGATAACATTTGGTCATGTTTTTTAAGTTGTGCTTTGTGCCTTGGAGACCACAGTCTTCATAATGCAGCCCACTGTGTTATTCCTGCTGTGACAATGAAAATCGGAATACGTTTCTTGTTAATGTGTTTGTCTATGAGACTAGCTCATAATTCAAATAATTTATCTAGAATCTTCTCTGATAAAGTATATACTTTGTTAAAACAGTAGTAGCTGTCAAAATAATATAGGCTGTAAGAGAAGAGCCAACTCCATACCTTGTCTTTATTTGGAATCATCTGTAGTTCCACGTACATGGATTTTGTCAACATCTTCAAACCACAGTAAGTCTCTGATTTTTCATTCCAATACTAAGAACTAAATCTTTGTTTGTATGAATTTTCTACACACTTGTTAATTCAACTCAACACATTTACTCTTAATAAACAATCAATAAAATTACCCTGAAGAACAGAATATATTTGTGAAAAATTGTAAGTGGGACAGTAGATGGAATTAAGGCAATGTAGTACAAAAAGGAAAAAGTAATGCTTTTGCATATTCAGCAGATAGTAGTGCTACGGGGCTCTGTAGCAGAACTAAACTAGCATTATCCTTATAAAAACAACTGTTTTCTGTGTCTCTGTGTATCCCCAGTTCCCAGGATCTCATTATGCTTTACAAAGGTCCGTAGCTCCTTTTTAGCATGCATTATATATAAAGGGAAGTGTACAGGTTCATGCTGTTGTGTGCATGTGTTTTTATGAGAGTGTCCTACCTCAAAATTTTGAGGCTGTTGACTGAAGTAAAACGTAACTAAGAGGTAGATGTCTTGAAAAATTAATTCCCTACAGTTATAATTAAAGCATGCATATGGGTAGAAATCAGAACCCTTACTAATATCCTCACCAATAGGAAGGTTGCAGTGCAGACTCAACCCTTATTAAACACATGAGAATCCACACAGAGGGAGACATTATGAATGCTCTTATCCTAAAGAAAACATCAACAGACACTTCATCTTCTTAGATACCAGAGGATCCAAGTGCAAGATGAAAATGCTTAAGAAACTATACAGTGAGTCAGTGGCAAAGACAGGAATAGAAACATTGCCCTGCTCTTATTCCTATAATGGGCACGGTGGAATGAATTGTAAGCTTATTGAAGAGGGAGGAAAGAGAGATACAGCGGAAAACACAGTGCTGTGTGAAAATCAGTGTGTACAGTGTATTGAAAATGCTGTAAACTTTGATTTTAAGGCCTGTAGCTATTTGTTGAATTAATATTAATCAGAATAGGAAGGGTCTGAGCAAAATAATGTGAAAAATACTCATAGACTGGATAAAACTGCCTCTGCTTATTCCACCTGTGAAAAAATAAATTTACCCAGAGAATATATGTAAAACATATTGCAATGTATGTAATGTCTTGATATTGTAGTTTTTAAATGCAGTCACTGTATTCAAAATCTCTCCCTCCAAGAAGAGAAAGAAGGAAGCCTGGAATAGACAGACCTATATAAGAAACCAAACTCAGTTTCCTTCTGTCTGTCATTCTATCCATCTCTGTATACCTAAAGAATCTATTCAATTTTGTACATACATGTATATGTGTACACTTATCATCCTGGCTTTATATATTATATTCATGCTTTCAATGCCATGTGAGTTTTGTGAACTTGATCATATACTGAGACTGATAATCTATTTGTATTGTGAATCCAGCATTTACTGTTGAAAATAAATGACCATTTTATTACAGAGATATGGATTAGCTGTATGATAGTATTGGAAGTCACCAAATAATTCATTGTTTCACAAATTGCCTAGACAAGTTAAGGAAAGAATAACTAAATCAACAACTAAGTATCAAAAGTATATTTAGTCTGTTCAGGCTTTTCAGGCTTAAAAGAAATAATTTTAATTTGTGATGTCCAATACAGAGTCCTTTGTAGCTCTTCACATCGTTTGAAGTTAATAAGGTTCTTACTATTTTACTATGAATTGTTTAGTAAATCAACTCCTGAGTTTGGAATACCTTTAAAGTTAAGTAAGGAAGAATAAAAGTGAAATAATATATAACTAAATTACTTTTCTGGGAAAAGTGCCTGGCTTCTCTCCCAGATATAAAGGCCAAAGCTGTCAAATTCACTTTTTGGAAATGGACTCCAAGTATCACTATATGGTTGCTTATGAATACCAGTTTGTGGGGATGCTGTGGTGCTTCTAATTTGGAAGACAGTCCCTATTTGCAATTGGGATTTCCTATGTAAAGGTGTTAGAAGAACAATAACTACAGGTAAATAGCTTTTCCACAACACTTGCTGGTATTATAGTGCAATGGTTATTCAGCAGTGAAGATGCTACCCCTCGCACATTTGGGCCTCTAAGCGGTTAAACAGGTTTCCTCAAGAGTCAAAGGGAAGTTTCTGATTTTTTTAGCAATCTTTCATGTTGGAAATATTTAATTAATATTTAAGGAATTTTAAATGTCAAAGAATAATTGCCATCAATTCTCCCTTGTTGCTTTTTTGACAAAATCAAGACAATATTTTATATCAGCACAGCAAGAGATGATGGCTTTTTGAAGAAATTTTGCCAATCAGATTCTTTCCTACCATAATCAGTAAGGTGTTTTATTGTAGTGTGATTGACAAATTGACTGGATTTAGGACCTCTCCATTATCTGTGTATCTGTTTTATGTAATTCAGAGTCATTCTATGGTCTTCTAGTGACTGGATCATTCAAGCTTTGTCTAAATTAAGCTGTAGGTGTGTATTGCAGCATTCTCCAACATCCTCATTCAGGCCAGGAACTTCATTAGAGCATGTCCTGGCTCCCTTCCTGCAGTTGTACCCAAGTTTCCTTCCCATGGACATCAGTGTGCTCAGGGAGTGATGGGGGTAACACCTGCTGGTCTCTCACTCTGGCTGGGTCAGGACATATCTAGGCAGTACACACAAGAATATCTGGACCTAAAAGTTCTGCTGTTTTCAGAGTTTCCTCAGTGTAGAGATCACAGGTGTTAGTTAGGGACCTGATACTGGCTCCTAGCAGATAACAAGGCATTTGACTGAAACTCTGCTGACTATCCTTTTCAGTTTGGTGTCTTGAGTAAAACCCTCATTGGGAATGCCTGGGGACAGCACTGTAGAGGTATAATTTAAATACAAGTGCACTATTTTGACTCTTTGGTTCTCACACAAAAGCTGCATATTTTTGCTAACAGCCTAACCACTTCATCTATAAGTGCTTTCAGAGTTCTTGGTTATGCTACCTGGACGTGATGTCTCTCATGCTTTTAAAATGATAGGATTGCTCAGATTTATTTTATAGATACTCTTCAGGCTGATAGAATGCTTTATTTTCACTGCTAACAAAAATTAGGTCAAGGGTAGCTATCTTCCCATCATGTTCTCCAGTTTAAAACTGAAATAGAGAAGACAACATTCCTCCTACCTAGAACTGCCTAAACCTTCTTTGATTATTCCCTTTAACATCTGGTGACACAGGAAACACACAGATCCATTTAGGGCTGTACCAACCCTTCTAATTCCTTTCTTATCCTCTGTCTGGTGTAGTTTACTATTCCTAAGG